TTTTGGGGGAGGAGATAGTAGTTTTGGGTGGGATTCTTAGCGTATTTGCTTGGAGTACACCTGGCCGGACGGAGAGGTGTAAAGGAAAGAGTGAGGACGTCCGGTGTTTTGCGTTTGGTGCGGTGCCGTCAGGTGCTCTCGCTTCGAGCCGCGTCACAGAAGGAACTGGGATTGAGATTAAGAAAAAGAAATACACCCTCGTCAACCTGCTGGATAAACTGGGCCACGCAGTTAAAGGGGTTGGGAGTCCGGCAAAGTGAAGGTGGTGATGGAGCGGCAGGGCGGATCGACGGGCACGACGGGGTGGAAAAATATGCGAACGGACGCTCAGGCCAACCCGGTCGGAGCTGAGAGCGTTTCATCATGACGCGACCGACAAACCTGTCACCTTAATCGCACCACTCAACACAGTCAAGGTGAGTTTCGACCGTAGAAAACCTCAGAAGGTACACATTTTCCAGTCGCATAGAGTTCTAGCGGCGGTTCTTACGTTCCTCACCGCATAGTGCTGACGATAAGGATGTGCTCGTGCTTGACCGCCCGCTTTACATCTGGGCCAGACTCACCTTCCTAGTTCCTTTTTCTCAGCTTGAAGATACGCGTCCTGCCGTGTCATACTGTACACCTTGTCTGACGTTCCAACAGTGAGCGGAGATATCCGTAGATCATCGTACGATGTGTGTACCACGGAATCGCGCTTGTCACCTCGCGTACTTTCACAGCTGGTATTAGACGCAGAGATGAGGTGAGTATTGCAGTATCGCTTAAGCTGATTCTAGAAGCCAAGTCACTGCGGATGCTCGCGGACTATAGGAGTACGCGTCTGATTCCCGACAATGCACGTACTTTCCGACATCCGGAGACAACCATTTCTGTGCATTTGTGTACTTCAACTGCAAGAGTGGCTCGATTGAAAGAAGCTGAAGTTGGTGGTCGAGATGCAGAGAATTCCACTATATTATGTCGTATTGAAGTCCATGTTAAAACTAAGTAGTGTTGGATGGAACTTGGAAAGATTTTTGAGTTTTGATCATTCAGAGTTGGTCTGATGATGGGTATTCACGGAAAACCATAAGGTACCACTGAGCACTCGAAATTCCGACGAGATACCGTTGCCTTCTTTTAGGCGATACACCAAGGAAGTAGCTGCGTAAATAGTGCACTAGCTGTGTAACGCGGGCTTGATCGCGGGAATCACGACTTCAAAACACAACATCCGAAAAATTGGCTTCCGCGCGATTTCGGCATTGCGGGGTTCTTCGAGAGCAGTCGTGCCCATTCTGGTGACATGTTGGAGACTGCAGCCTCGCTGAGTTTGTGATTTCATTTGGCTATTAAAAGCTCGCTCTTTTCACAATCTTTTCATCCTCAACACATTGTCTCCGAATAATTTTAGTGATGGCCAAAGAGAGATTGCGGCGTTTATACAGTGCCATGCCCAGTTCCGCAGAAAACTATAGTCTGCAGGAATTGGTCCGGCCAAAATTCTTTTCCATTGCATCCAGCCGCTCTTCTATCCAGAACACAGAAACGCCGACAGAGAACATCTTTGGCGCTCCTTCCTACGATGAGAATGATGTCGAAAGTTCCGCCACATTTGTCCCTCCCGACAGGACAAAAAACCAAACTCAACTCAACTTCTCATTGGAAAACGGTTCCCGTAACACGACTTTGCCCGCAGAAAAACCTTACTCAGAGCGAAGAATAGACGAACGACTGGGTACATTTCTGGTATATACCAATATTGCCGCTTTCATCCTCTTTTTAGCGGCTCTATCATTTGTTATTTTCCTCTGGTCTGGCCGACAATCCGTGCAATGCTGCCAGTCGCCGAGGAGACTAGGCGCAATTCAATCCTTGAATTCAATGGTACCGCTTCTCTATTTGACGCCCGAGTAATATGCGTAAGACCAAACTTCACTGATTGGGACATCACTGAAAATGGAGATCACGAGTCGTCTTTCTTCCAAGGAAATATCGTCGCACCGACTCTTCCCAGCGACCTGGCCGAGATATTGCATTTCAATATGTCCACTAACGGGACTTTAACCAAGATCCCTTTCCATTGCTCGATGGAACAATTCTCTTACCTCCAAGAAGGTCGGTCTTTCAGAATTTGTCTGCCGGGAATGTCAACCACGAAGACGGTATTCGGAGGCTTAACCAACGCTCTCGACCCCACGGTGAACAGAAGTACAGCACGTAGCCAATACCTGAACGAAAGGGATTTGTTTACTGCGGGTAACGGAAATAACTCGTGGAGAGTAGAGTATGGGCGTATGATACTGTTCCTTGACGTGGAACAGCATGGTCCCCAAGCTACTGATTACAACGGGTTTGCTGAATTAAATGATGATTTAATTGCAAGTGGAAGAGATGCTTGGTTAGATATAACGTCGGCTGGAAACCCAACCGCGGGCCGCGTTAGTGTCACAACATGTTACGACGCTTTGTAAGTACTTTTACCACTTGCGTTACACTCTACTTAGCTGAGTTTGATAGCTATCAACAGGCATTTGCTAGCCGGCTCACACATATTCAAGAATTCAACATCAATGCAATAAGGACATCAAACCACACTGAACCGCAAGCCATATGGGATCCTAAAAACAGAAAATTTGACACGACACAATTACGCAAACAACTAAACGCACTGAAAACCCCACTTCACCGCGGACAAAGAGGTGTTTTCAATCTAAGTAAACCGAACATAGACACGGTGCTGAAGGGTTATTCCTCTGAGTTCTCTCCAAAAAACACCTGGTCGTTTTTACCTCAAGGTAAGAGATTGTCAGCCAGTATCACTCTAACAACGCACAGCTTCAACCCTACGGTTAGTTGTTACACAATAAACTGACTCCCTTACACCACACGTTCTTCTACT